ATTTAAATAACTAAAGTTTTTTTCAGTATCACTCCAATTGCCATTAAAGTGTAAGCTCACCTGCCACATCAAGGCAAAACCTCATAGACGAGTCCTACACTAACAATTCACCAAAAACTAGCAAGGGGGATGGATAACATTGGTTATGAAGGATTGGATAGAAAAACTGAAAAAAATGTGTTTCTTCACTAAAAACGCACCTCAGAGGGGATATGATAGCAGTATACAAATATATACCGGGCACAAGGTCACCCATTTAGACTGGAAGAAAGGCATTTTTGCTTACACGAAGTACAATAAAGATGTTGAATTTTCTGCCTTACTAGATTGTGTTATCAGATTCTATAGATAATTTTTAAAAATGTTTGGATTATTTTATGCATTAACAGAATATTCAAGGATATAATTGCTATATATGTAAACAGGTTGTTGATCCAAGGAGAAATTTGATTGCCATTATGGAGTCAAGAAGGACTTTTTTCAATTTTTGCTGCCCCGGCATCATGTGTATCTTAGCATCCTGGGTCACGTGTATCTTAGCTCACCTCTTGTCTGCCATCTGTCTCTCCCGCTCTTTGGCAGCATGCCATGAATGTGAGGTGGGTTGCGGCATGCAGGGGAAGGGAGGCAAACCTTGTCTGCCCTCCAGCCCGCTTCCCCTCTAACAGGCCTCCTCGGCTATGTGTGGCTGTGTCCCCAGCACTGCCCCATTGTTCCTCCAGGGTGTCAGAACCCTGGGGGATCCTTGGAACATGCTCTGGGCAGTGTGGGGAGACAGCCAGTCAAGTAGACAAATGAATAGAGCATCCCACACACATAGGCAGCGTGGATGCCTGCCTGCCCTGGAGGGGCCTCCTGATTTATAGACCTAGAGGCTCCTCCTTTTTTAACCCCTTCAAGTCTGTTCCAGCCTTGGTTAACTGTTACAAACCTGTTCCAGCCTGGGTGAACCCCTTCAAGCCTGTTCCAGCCTTGGTTAACTCTTTCAAGCCTGTTCCAGCCTTGGTGAACCCCTTCAAACCTGTTAAAGCTCTGGCTAACCCTTCCTGTACTTGGGCCCATTCTCTTTAATATTTTTTTTTGTGATATTGCAGAAGGTCTTGATGGTAAAGTATGTCTTTTTGCTGATGATACCAAGTAACCTCACCACGGGCTCTTGGAGGGGCCTGCTGGCCAGCCTCTTGCCAAAAGACTATGGGCCCTTTAAAAACTTATGTGATTTATGTACTTTTGTACTCCAGAAAGAGAGACCAACCATTAGCCCTAATTCCCTGGAAATGTTTTGGGCATAGGACCATGTGCATGGTCGGTCAAAACTATGACTTCCATGGAAATCCCGAACCCCTGAACCAATCTGGGCGATTTTTGGATATGGTGGTCCCCCAGATCGGGGCTATCAGGGGATGTGACTTTTGTGGGATTTCCATGTGTTTTGGGGGTACTTTCGGGAGGGTGTTAAAATTTATGTTTTCTGTGCATGGAGATGATTGCGTTTAGTATAGTTCCTGACTCAAGCACAGGGAAGGAATTATCTTGTTTTGTGTGGTAGTGTCCTGGACCTGAGAGCCAATGTAATCATGTGTATGTTTTTGCTGTAGTCTACTCTCAGGTCCAGTGGAGAATGCCCCTGGAATATGTAACTGGAAACCCATTGCATGGGGAGTTGCATATAAGGCTGCATGTGGCTCCCATTAAACCAGTTCCTCTTCACCCTCAACATAGAGCCTTGTCTCATGTGTGGAGGGAACAGCTATATTCACTCTGGGGTTTGCTATACTCATTATACTCCCTTGGATTATAATCACTAGCTCTTGTAAGAGCTATCCTTCTTTACTCACTGGATTGAGAGAGGTCTACCCACTGGAAGCTGGATCATGGTCTTGGGTCCATGGTGGGTGGAGGACAGTGAGACCCCAACCAAGCTGTAACGCTGGCTGCGGGGTTTACGGTGGTTATGGTGTCTGGAGGAATGCTTAGAGTACTCGGTGTTGCTAGGAAGCAGCGATTGGCGGAGGCACCCAGTCAGGGTGCAGGCGGTCCACCACACTAAGATATGTAACAGGGTTGATGTTCCAGGAGGGGTAAGCCAAATGGCAAATGAGGTAAACTAGAAACATGGTCAGAGTTGTGGCAGCTGACATTTAATGTGGATAAGTGCAAGATAATGCATCTTGAACATAAAAACCCAAGGGCAGAGTACAGAATATTTGATAGAGTCCTAACCTCAACATTTAAGGAAAGGGATTTAGAGGTAAGTATTTCAGATGACTTAAAGGTAGGCAGACAATGTAATAGAGCAGTAGGAAATGTTAGCAGAATGCTTGGTTGTTTAGAGAGAGGTATTAGCAGTAGAAAGTGGGAAGTGCTCATGCCATTGTACAGAACACTGGTGAGACCTCACTTGGAGTATTGTACGCAGTACTGGACACCGTATCTCCAGAAGGATATTGATACTTTAGAGAGAGTTCAAAGAAGGGCTACTAAACTGGTTCATGGATTGCAGGATAAAACTTACAAGGCAAGGTTAAAGGAACTTAACATGTATAGCTTGGAGGAAGACGAGACAGGGGAATATGATAGAAATATTTAAATACATAAAGGGAATCAACACAATAAAGGAGGAGACTATATTTAAAAGAAGAAAAACTACCACAACAAGAGGACATAGTCTTAAATTAGAGGGGCAAAGGTTTAAAAATAATATCAGGAAGTATTACTTTACTGAGTGGATGCATGGAATAGCCTTCCAGCTGAAGTGGTAGAGGTTAACACAGTAGAGGAGTTTAAGCATGCGTGGGATAGACATAAGGCTATCCTAGCTATAAGATAAGGCCAGGGACTAATGAAAGTATTTAGAAAATTGGGCAGACTAGATGGGCCGAATGGTTCTTATCTGTCCCTCAAAGCAGAATGCTTGGTTGTTTAGAGAGAGGTATTAGCAGTAGAAAGTGGGAAGTGCTCATGCCATTGTACAGAACACTGGTGAGACCTCACTTGGAGTATTGTACGCAGTACTGGACACCGTATCTCCAGAAGGATATTGATACTTTAGAGAGAGTTCAAAGAAGGGCTACTAAACTGGTTCATGGATTGCAGGATAAAACTTACAAGGAAAGGTTAAAGGAACTTAACATGTATAGCTTGGAGGAAGACGAGACAGGGGACTATGATAGAAATATTTAAATACATAAAGGGAATCAACACAATAAAGGAGGAGACTATATTTAAAAGAAGAAAAACTACCACAACAAGAGGACATAGTCTTAAATTAGAGGGGCAAAGGTTTGAAAATAATATCAGGAAGTATTACTTTACTGAGTGGATGCATGGAATAGCCTTCCAGCTGAAGTGGTAGAGGTTAACACAGTAGAGGAGTTTAGGCATGCGTGGGATAGACATAAGGCTATCCTAACTATAAGATAAGGCCAGGGACTAATGAAAGTATTTAGAAAATTGGGCAGACTAGATGGGCCGAATGGTTCTTATCTGCCGTCACATTCTATGTTTCCTGCTGAGGTCAACCCTCTCAAGCCGGTAAAACCTTGTTTATTTTTACATCGTTTTTTAGTCCTGTCCCTCAAACCATTCCTGAACAAACTTTGCAGAGTGCATTATGCTTCTGAAAGAGGTCACTGCCATCAAGGAACACCATTGCCATGAAGAGGTGTACGTGGTATGCAACAATCTCTAGGAAGGTGGTATATGTCAAAGTAACATCCACATAATTCCAGGACCCAAGGTTTCCCAGAGCATAACACTGCCTCCGCCAGCATGTCTTCTTCCCATAGTGCAGCCTGCTGCTATCTCTTCCTCAGGTAAACGCTCACGCATTTGGCCATCCATCTGATCTAAAAAGAAAACGTGATTCATCAGACTATGCAACCTTCTTCCATTGTCCATTGCTACATTGTCCAGTTCTGATGGTCACGTCCCCATTGAAGGTGCTTTTGGTGGACAGAGGTCATCATAGGCACTCTGACCTGTCTGTGGCTATGCAGCACCATACACAGCAAACAGTTATGCACTGTGTGTTCTGACACCTTTCAATCATGACCAGCATTAACTTTAAAAAAAAAAAACAATTTGAGATACAATAGCTTTTCTGTGTGATAGGACCAGATATGCCGCAATTAAGCCTTGGGTGCCCATGACCCTAACACTGGTTTGATAATTTTCTTCCTTGCACTACTTTTGGTAGGTACTAATCACTGCATACCGGGAACACCGCACAAGACTTGCCATCCTGGAAATGCTCTGATACAGTTGTCTAAAATTTACTATATCGCTCTTGTCAAAGTAACTCAGATATTTTCGCTTGCCCATCTTTCCTTCTTCCAACACATAACACTGACTGTTCACGTCTTGCCTAATATATTCCACCCCCACCCCAGACAGTTGCCATTGTAGAAATATAATCAATGTTATTCACTTCACCTGTCAGTGGTTTTAATATTGTGGCTGATCAGTTTGTAAAACACTCTATTTCAACTATTTAGAGAAGCATAACCAGACACACATGCACACACACACACGTACATTAACACACCTTGCCACACACATGCACAATTATGGCCCCTTTTCTGTTTTTTCCATCTGGACTAATTTATCCTGAATGTTGCAATGCAGCTTGGCTTTCACAGCAACTCACCATTTAGTGGCTAAAGCCATATTGGATTAATTCAATAAATAGAGAATTGTGAATAATTGACAAAAAAAAAACTTTTAATTATAGGTAAAATAGCAGTTTATTTATTTGTATTTATGTCATTCCCTTATCAGTCTTAATTCATAGTTTAGATCATAATTCCTATATTGACCACACTTATTGCTCTGCCTACATGACTGTAAAATGGTGACAGGCTACACAATATGTCAAAGCTTTTGGCTGGCATGTATGCCTCCATTTGCCTGGAGTCCTATACAAGGTCTCCTGAGGCACACACTGAACGCGCAGCAACTCGCGTGTTTAGAACTCGACTGCTATCCTCAGGCTGCCAGAGCTGTGACGTGGCAGCGGCGGGCGGGGCTTGAGGAGGAAGTTGCTGCTGGAAAGGGAGCTGTTGTCTGTGTTGACCGGGATCAACACTAGATTTCCTGGAAGCCAGCGGCACCGGCGGGGCCTGATGACCGGCTGTGGGTTTAGGCTTTCCCCTGTGTAGCGGCTGGTACGTACACCCAGCAGGACTCTATGGAAGTCATGGATTGTCCTCTAAACCTGGTGAGTGCCCTCTGTCCCCTTACACAGGGTGAGTGCCCTCTGTCCCCCTACACAGGGTGAGTGCCCTCTGTCCCCCTACACAGGGTGAGTGCCCTCTGTCCCCTTACACAGGGTGAGTGCCCTCTGTCCCCCTACACAGGGTGAGTGCCCTCTGTCCCCCTACACAGGGTGAGTGCCCTCTGTCCCCCTACACAGGGTGAGTGCCCTCTGTCCCCCTACACAGGGTGAGTGCCCTCTGTCCCCGGGGAAGGTCCCCCTACACAGGGTGCAGACAGGGTGAATGCCCTCTGTCCCCCTACACAGGGTGAGTGCCCTCTGTCCCCGGGGAAGGTCCCCCTAAACAGGGTGAGTGTCCTCTGTCCCCCTAAACAGGGTGAGTGTCCTCTGTCCCCCTAAACAGGGTGAGTGCCCTGTGTCCCCCTACACAGGGTTAGTGCCCTCTGTCCCCTGGGAAGGTCCCCCTAAACAGGGTGAGTGCCCTCTGTCCCCCTACACAGGGTGAGTGCCCTCTGTCCCCTGGGAAGGTCCCCCTAAACAGGGTGAGTGCCCTCTGTCCCCCTACACGGGGTGAGTGCCCTCTGTCCCAGAGGAAGGTCCCCCTACACAGGGTGCAGACAGGGTGAGTGCCCTCTGTCCCCCTACACAGGGTGAGTGCCCTCTGGCCCAGGGGAAGGTCCCCCCACACAGGGTGCAGACAGGGTGAGTGCCCTCTGGCCCCGGGGAAGGTCCCCTTACACAGGGTGCAGACAGGGTGAATGCCCTCTGTCCCCGGGGAAGGTCCCCCTACAACTCCCAGCAATCTAGGTATAGCATATGGCAGCAGCTGTTAAACCTCTGACAAATTGCTGGTCACAAGGTAGGATCTCCAGCTGTTGTAGAACTACAATACAAGCTGGCAAAGCATCGTTGGAGTTGGAGTTTAATTGCTGTCTGACTACAACCACCAACACTATAGGTATAGCATATGGCAGCAGCTGTTAGAGGAATTATGTCTGTTTATACCTCCTTATATTGATGGTCAAAAGGTAGGATCTCCAGCTGTTGTAGAACTACAATAGAAAACAGCACAGCATAGTGGGAGTTGTAGTTTAATTGCTGCCTGACTACAACTCTCAACACTCTAGGTATAGCATATGGCAGCAGCTGTTAGAGGAATTATATGTCTGTTTATACCTCTTACATATTGCTGGTCACAAGGTAGGATCTCCAGCTGGTGTAGAACTACAACAATAGCTGGCAAAGCATCATGGGGGTTGCAGATTTTAAACAAAAAGCTAGGGGGTCTGTATTTTTGGGATACATAAAGGTAATTAACAAATAAAATAATGGTATGCACAAGAGGGCCCTGCTCCACAGAGCTCACAATCTATGAAAAATGGTTGCCCTTTATTTTGTAGAATTCATATGCTGCAGTAATGACTTTGGTTTATTGAGGTGTGTTCCTTGATATTCCTCTTTGGTTGCTGCACGTATACATTATATATACACTGCAAGGTGGCATTTTTTGACGTGTGGTGGTATGATGACGTGATATATGTCCAGAAAAAAAAACTCCATGGGTACAATGGTTTCTGAAACGATTTCTATTTTCCAATAATTTATGTATAATTAGGAAAAACATATAGTGTGTAATGAAAGTTTATTAATTGTAAAGACATGTAGAAAAGTCTTTTAGTGCAGGATGTAATATTCATTTCACCCACCCTTTAGTGGGCAGTTAGAAGAAGGCTCAAATGAAGGACACTAGAACTGTGAAAAGAAGATATCATAACATACAATGAATGATTGATTAACTAAATCAGACATTAATAAAAGAAATAGCAGGTTTCAGGCCAAATAGACAAGTCTATGAATATACTTGTCCAATTTCTGGCTTAGTGGATATCTCCATAGTCTTGCCACGGTACACATGTATGTATGTATGTATGTAATAGAAATAGAGGATAATTTTGTGCTAAAAAGAAAGTAAGATCGACAGTAAGATTTGACATCAGTACACTAAAATGATCAGAGCTGGGTAGGCAAGCTTAGGGATTCCAGAATCATACTACAAAAGAAGTATAGAAGCTTAAAGGATCACTATAGTGTCAGGAAAACAAAGCGGTTTTCCTGACACTATAGTGCCCTGAGGGTGCCCCCACCCTCAGGGTCCCCCTCCCCTGGCGCTGAAGGGGTTAAGACCCCTTCAGCAGTTTACCTTATTCCAGCGCCGGTGACCTCTCCTCCCCCGCCGTCAGCGGGGCTGTATGCACATGCGCGCGCATTCAAAGTGTCCATAGGAAAGCATTTCTCAATGCTTTCCTATGGACGCTCTGCGCAATGGAGGCATAATATGCCTCTAGTGGCTGTCCGGAAGACATCCACTAGAGGCTGGCTTAACCCCAAATGTAAACATAGCAGTTTCTGAAACTGCTATGTTTGCATCTGAAGGGTTAAAACCTGAGGGACCTGGTACCAAGACCACTTTATTGAGCTGAAGTGGTCTGGGTGACTATAGTGTCCCTTTAAATAAAAGTTACTAGCAGTGTCTGGTAACCTAGAGACAGTGAGGGTCTGTTCCTTTTTTGTTTTTTTCCCTTACCCTTTTTTTAGTGTTTGATACACAGGAGCAGAAAAAAAATGAGTGGACTAATTACTCTCACGCCTTCTATTCACTCTGCGTTCCCCTTTTAACCGGCAGTAATGGTATAATGGTCCTGTTTTTGTTCTTCTCATTGTGCTAAATATGTGGGCATTGATTGACTATTCTAGTTAGGATTACAATATAGTACTCTACAGGACATCCCATGGAGTTAGTGTTTGTGATTTCATTTTGCTGTATAGTGGGCACTTAGACTGGGCAGCTCATGGCACTTTAAGAGGATGGTGCCCTAGAGACTGGGCATCAACTAGGTCATAGAGTTGGAAAAAAAGCCCAATCTCACCCTAGTCGCCGCCCATATAAAACCCACTCACACCTCCTGTCTCTATCTCTCCTCCTACTTCTGGCAGCTGGTGACGTCTCTCCCAACCCAGGGCCCCTCACCTCATCTGCTCACACTAAAATAACCAGAAACCATGCAAACCTCCTCCAAATACCCTGCAGTCTATCCTCCTCTACCAAAATTCAGTGTGCACTCTGGAATGCTCGCTCCATTTGTAGTAATATCAAATCTACAGCAATACATGACCTCCTCATCTCTAACTCTCTCACAATACTGGCACTCACTGAGACCTGGCTATCTCCATCCGATACCGCTACTCCTGCTTCTTTATGTTTCGTGGTCTACAGTTCTCCCATACTCCTAGACTTGACTGTAAAGGAGGTGGTGTAGGCATCCTTCTCTCCCCTCAATGTACCTTTCAACCTATCCTCCCTGCCCTATCCTTTACTTCCTTTGAAGTTCACACTGTACGCCTTTTTAAGCCCACTCCTTTAAGAATTTCCATCATCTATCGCCCCCCCAGTCACCCTAAACTATTAATTGAACACTTTTCCTCCTGGTTACCCCACTTTCTTTCCTCTAGCACTCCCTCTCTCATACTTGGGGACTTCAATATCCCTATCAACAAGCTCAATTGCCCTGATGCCTCTCGTCTGTTCTCTGTAACCTCCTCCTTTGGACTCACACAGATTTCTTCCTCAGCAACTCACACTGCAGGAAACACTCTTGACCTCATCTTCACCAATCTCTGTATCACCTCTGATCTCGCCACTGCTCCATTTCCTTTGTCTGACCACCATCTGCTAACATTTAACATCTGCATACCCCATACCAAAATCTCACCACCATCCACTCTCCAACCTCGCAGAAACCTCAACTCTCTCGATCTCCAGCACTTCTCCACTAATCTCCAAACACTCCTTTTTCCCATCTCAAATCACAACTGCCCTAACTCTGCAACCTCACTCTACAACTCCACTCTCTCCTCTCAACTTGACATCATGGCACCTCCTACAGTTAAACGCAGCAAGCGCCCCCAACTACAACCCTGGCACACCAAGCTGACCCGTTACCTCCAAAAATGTTCCAGAACTGCTGAACGCTGCTGGAGAAAGTCTCACTTTGCATCTGACTTTGTCCACTATAAATTTATGCTGCGCTCCTACAGCATGGCTCTTTCCTCTGCAAAAGTAAGCTACTTCAACACCCTCATAAGCACACTGTCCACCAACCCAAACACCTGTTTCACACTTTTGATGCACTTCTTCGCCCTGTGACTCCCCCTCCTTCCACCACCTTGTCCGCCACAAACTTTGCATCTCATTTCACTGAGAAGATCTCTACAATCAGGAAAGAGATCTCTAATCTTTCTCCAACCAGTATCAATACATCACCCAACCCCACTCCCCTGTCATCCTAAGCTCATTTGCACCTGCTACAGCACAAGAGGTTTCTGCTCTGCTCCTGTCCTCCCGCCCCACCACCTGCTCCCTCGATCCTATTCCCTCGCATCTCATCCGCACTTTGTCTCCCTCTCTTGCTCTTCCTCTCGCTAACATTTTCAATCTCTCCCTTTCCTCTGGCACATTTCCCTCTGCCTTCAAACATGCAACCGTAACCCCAATTCTGAAAAAGCCCAACCTTGATCCCAACTCCCCATCCAACTACCGCCCTATCTCACTACTGCCATTTGCCTCCAAGATCCTTGAGAGAGTTGTCTACGCCAGATTGACAGACTTTCTTGAATCCAACTCTCTGCTTGACCCCCTTCAGTCTGGATTCCGCGCTGGTCACTCTGTCGAAACTGCTGTGACCAAAGTATCCAACGATTTAATTGCTGCTAAATCTCGCGGCCAATACTCTATCCTAATCCTCCTTGATCTTTCTGCCGCCTTTGACACTGTTGATCATCAACAGCTTCTTCACATTCTCTGTAACTTTGGTCTACGGGATTCTGCTCTCTCCTGGTGCTCCTCCTACCTCTCCCAGCGCTCCTTCAGTGTTTCTTTCTCTGGCTCTGCCTCTTCTCCCCAACCCCTCCCTGTCGGCGTCCCCCAAGGTTCTGTCCTCGGCCCCCTACTGTTCTCTATCTATACTGCCTCCCTTGGTAAACTCATCAGCTCTTTTGGCGTCCAATACCATTTATATGCAGATGACACGCAAATCTACCTGTCCTCCCCTGATCTCTCTCCGCCCACCTTGACTCGTGTTTCTGACTGCCTCTCTGCTATTTCCAACTGGATGGCTGCTCACTTCCTTAAACTCAACCTGTCCAAAACAGAACTTCTAGTTTTTCCTCCCTCAAGTGCTGCTACTCCTGTGTCTGTCGCCATCCAAGTCAACGGCGCTACTATCACCTCTACCTCCCAGGCTCGCTGCCTAGGAGTTCTTTTTGATTCTGATCTCTCTTTTACTCCCCATGTTCAATCAATAGCCAAATCCTGTCGCTTCCAACTCAAGAACATAGCGCGCATCCGCCCATATCTAACGCCGGACGCGGCTAAGGTACTAGTTCATGCTGTTGTTCTCTCTCGCCTTGACTATTGCAATCCCCTTCTCACCGGTCTTACATGTTCCCAGCTTGCACCGCTGCAATCTATAATGAATACGGCTGCGAGGCTTATTTTCCTGTCCGGTCGCACCTCCCATGCCTCCACGCTCTGTCAGTCTCTGCATTGGCTTCCAGTTAGATATAGGGCCCAATTCAAAATTCTGGCGCTTGCTTACAAATCCCTACATAATGCTGCTCCAACATACCTATCCTCCCTCATACACAAGTATGTCCTGTCGAGACCCCTGCGCTCAGCCCAAGACCTACTCCTATCCTCTGCCCGGATCCCCACCTCTGATGCTCGCCTTCAGGGCTGCACCTATTCTGTGGAACTCCCTTCCCTCCTCAATCAGACTTTCACCCAGCCTCCATTCCTTCAAAAAATCTTTGAAAACTCACTTCTTTATTAAAGCGTATCAATTAAACTGTCAGCAGGTTTCTCATCCCCCACCCCATGACTCCGTTCCTTCACCTGTCAAAAATGACCTACCAAGCACTCAATAAACCCTTCTGTAACAAACTATTTAATTCCCCTACTTTAACCCTTTGTGTCACTATACCCCACTCCCTCTAGCATGTAAGCTCATCGAGCAGGGCCCTCAACCCCCTCTGTTCCTGTACGTCAGTGGTCTGATCTCAATTATGTGTCTGTTAGTCCACCCATTGTACAGCGCTACGGAATTTGTTGGCGCTATATAAATAATAAAATAATAATAATAATAATGGGATTTCATGTCCATGGGGTGCTGGGCATCCCCCGACAATCTCATTAGTAAGGGTGTAACACTTTGCATAGCTCAGGACTATTTTGTACATCTGACCCTACAGGCCGAGATTGATCCCATTTGCCAAGTTGATAACGCTACTGTCTGTGTTTACCATGCCTAATAGCCAGTTCACCCTATGATGTTCATATTGTGCTTTGCATACGGTTCTCAGCCTGATGGTTGTGTATCAGTACAAACAATTTGGAGGGTCAGCCACTATTTAAAGTTTGGGTGCAAAACTCCAAGGTCTCTTTCCAGTTACCTCACACACACTGCATAAAAACAATAACGGAGCCGCAACACCAAAAGTAAATATCAATGAAATTTATTCCACCTCTGTGGAACTGGTAACCTTTCGACAGGACCTCGGAGTCTTTGTCAAGTCCCTCAGGTTGGGTCGAAACGTTGCCAGATCCACACAGGTGCAACTAATTTTTAATATTTACTTTTGGTGTTGCGGCTCCTTTATTTTTCTACGGGTGGTTGTGTCTTGACAGTTAAGGTGAAGGCTATGCTAGTACAATCTTATCCTGTTGTTTCTTAGGGGCATATTTATTAAATAGTTGTTTTATTTTTTTGATTTGGGCAACGGAGAGTGCTTTTTAAATGTGATTTGAGTTCTAAAGCACACATATTCTATTACCTACAGGAAGGCTTTTCATATCAGCTATTTTATTCATACTGCCCTGGTTTAAAGTGATGTCACAGATGGTTTAATCACCGAGAGGCCATTCCTCTATTGTTTTGATCTCATTGCTCTTTGTACGTTTAGTTCATGATTCACAACTGCTTTGGAGTCCTGTGAGACTCTGTTATTATAGCAGTGGAGTGTTAAGCCTGGATGTGTGACTTTGTCCAATTAAAGATTGAAGAAGCCTTGTGATATGCAATAATATAATTACTGTAATTTATCATAATTACTAAATTATTACAGAAATTGCAGGCTTTCGTTATGACTGTATGCAAAGCAATAGTCCAAAAATGTTGCCAAAAGTTACTGAATTAATTAACGTGGTTTTTTTTGTTTGTTTGTTTTTTTTTCTAAGTTTTTTAGGTCTCCTTAAATTTACCTTTTTAGAATCAATATAGTGTGCGTGGTTTTTGTATTGATTTTTTTTTTTTTTATAGTATAGTTGTATAGTTATTGGTTTAGAACTGCTTTCTCTCCTTCTTTTGGCAGTTTTTGTTTAGCGAGTACATGGTTTGAATTGCATTTGTGGTGTCTTTTTTATGCTATCATAGTTCACTTTTGATGGTGATTGATAAATAGATGTTAAATCTGAAACTACCTGAATCCAATAATAATCACTAATTCAGTAGTTGCCAAATCTTTTTTGGGCCAAGCCACATTTCAATGAGTGAAATATAACCAAGCCACCCCTTAATTTGTATTTTTTGTTTTTACTTTCATCTAAAAAAGATAAATGGCACATTTACTTGCAGCCAGCCATACAAGAGATCTTATGTTCTGGGGTGTGAAAATGTAAAACAATTAAAATATATATATATATATATATATATATATATATATATATATATATATATATATAATTGTTCAAGGGACTAAAGTGGTAACTCAATCTACTTTTCCTGACACCAAATTTGAAAGTTTGGGGACCCTGCTAACCTCTGGACATTGGTAGGGTTATTCACTAAACTCTGAATTTTCCCTGATTAGAACTGAAAGAAAAACAACTATGTAATATGTGTGTGTAGTGTGGTGTGTGTGTGCTAGATCTTCTACTCTCATCAGCCCTTAAGCCAAATCTTTCAGGCTCCAATTCATGAAGCACATGCCTCTTTAAATGGACCTCAGTAATTCTGCTTCTCGGGGTTCCGGTGCTGACTGAGTCAGAGTGCATGCTGGGAGTTCAGGGATTCGCTGTAACTGGAACCATGGGTTGAGCAACTAAGACTGGGCTTGACAAATTTGTTTGGAATCTAGGAGCTAGCTAAAAAAGTTAGGAGCCAGTTTTTTTTAATGGGACACTATAGTCACTAGAACCTCTACAGATTATGTAGTTGTTCTGGTGCCTATAGCCTGTCTCTGTAGCCTTTTCAGAGAAAAGGCAGCGCCTACTACTAAGACCTACTGCCTACTAACACCTGTAGGGACAGTCACTCAGACGGCCACTAGAGTCCTGTGTCAGTGCTCTACATGGAGGTGCTGAATGTTACCCATAGAGAGCATGCATAATATCCTCCCAATGCTTTCCTATGGGAAAGTATTGGCTTAGCTGAGATCATAAAGATCTCTGATATGGGGCGGGACAAGCAACAGTGAAACCAGCATGTGTGGGGAAAAAAGGTAAGTAAAAACACCAATCATGTGATCGGAGGGGGCAGGTACCTAAACAGACACACACTCTCTGACAGACATACATACACGCTGACAGACATACACAGACTCATTGACAAAGATGCACTCACAAATTTATATTTTTAATTTTAAAACACAGCCTCCCTACATTTGAGAGAGCGGAGTGGACTTTTCCTGTGGTCCAGTGGGGCTGATAATCCTGCGCGCGAGGGAGCAGCCTCCTTGCAGCTCCTCTCTGCTCCCTCACACTGTCTGCAGTGATGCCAGGGCCGGAATGATGTCATAACACAGCGCAAGGGAGTAGACAGGAGCTCCCTCGCGCGCTGCCCCAGCCTGCCGCTTCCATACCTTCCGCGGACGGACAGGCGGATGGCTACAGAGCTCTCTGAGCAAGCCACCTCCATACCTCCCAGGGCGGCCGGCTACAACGCTCCCTGAGCGGCCCCAAACACTGTCCACCTCTTGCGGGCAAAGAGCAGGGCTAAACTCCCAAATAAACTGCATGTCCTGGGCGTCGGACTATACAAATTCCACATCCCTGTATGCTCTTATCTAAATTGACCTAGTAGTTAAATGCTGACGCTTACTAAAAAAAAAAAAATGTAAATGCATTTTAAGGATAGCATTCATCCTATTGCAACCCTGAGTCATTGTGTTTGTGGCAGACTTTGTTGTTATTAGAGGCACACTATGACACATTGGTTAATAACCGTGCCCTAGTCGATGATGATGCTGTCTTGTGTCACCCTCAATTCTGGACCATAATCTCATTGTTTCCTTATCAAAATATGTTCCTATTATCACACATTTAAATCAAGTTGTTGTTTTTTGTTTTTTTTTGTTTGTTTTTTGTACAACCATTTTTGTATATTGTGCATTTAAAAGCTTTTCATGTTTACATATTCCACTATCCCAGCCCTCTACAGTGGTGCATTTTAAAGGAATACTCTCAGCATCAAAACAAGTTTAGCGTATTGAAGCAGGTATGGCGTATAGATCATACTACTGCAGTCTCACTGCTCAATTCTCTGTAAGCCACAACCAGGGGGAGGTGTGGCTAGGGCTGCATAAACAAAGTCATTTAACTCATAAATGACAGAGTTTTGAGCATTGAGACTGCAGTTCCATGATCTATATACCAAAACCACTTAATTAAGTTATCGTTGTTTTGGTGTTTAGAGTGTCCCTTTACAGCATATTGTTATTGTTGCACATCTATTGAATTTGTTTATTTTGTGTATATAGTTCACATGCATTCCTACATATAAAACAATTTATATTGACTGCTGATTTATATTCTAAGATTTTATAAAAATTCTCTTTTCAAAGGACAACGTCTGTCTCGCCCTATAACAAGAGTGTCCGAACATTAACCTTTTTTTCCGGCTATATCTTCCATTATTCTGTCAGCCAAGTGATGTGATTTGTCGATATCTCTTGGTGAAATCACAGCAGTGACAGACTAATTTTTAAAGAACAGTCTTACACGAATGTTAAACTTGACGGGCCATGGGTAGACCCACAAGGTGAACATTTGTCAGATTACATGTCAGTACATTCACAAAATGTGAGTTGCTGCCAGCCCTGTCAAACCTGTATAGGAAACTTGTAACATGCAATAGCTAATATAGTTCTATTAAAAAAAAAACATTGATTACAAAGGATCGTTTTGAGCACACCTGTAACTCCTGGACAAATTAGCCCTCCTGGCTTGGCAGATTTCCGCATCACAAAATACTTATACAGCGGCTAGCATTTCTGGGAAGGGATATGTAGATAAAGTGTAGATTCACTTCATACATGGGCTCTTCAATACTCTTAGTATTTTGTAAGTCAAAGTAGATTAGCGGAGAAGGGCCAAATTAGAGCATTTATGGACAAATTGTTTCATCCTTTTGGATTTTAGTGAAAAGGGTTAACAATGAGTGGTTATAGTTATAGTTATAGTGCAATTCCCCTTTTATTTACCTACAATAGACCATCTCCAGAACTCTAGTGACTATGTAAAACCATTCACATAATGCTCAGATAACCAAAAGCAATGTGTGAAAGTTTGGTACTCGCTGGTAGCCGGACAGAACCAAGTCTATGTGAAGTGAAGTCAAAGCCTGTAATTTTGGCATCATCTTTGGGTGTATGGTCATAAGATGGCAGGGTCCAGCTCAAATGAGCCATATTTATCCTTTTCTGCAGCCTGCCTTAATAAGAATCTCTCATCGCCTCATAATAGGCTGTGCCAACCATCTCAATATATAAGAAACATTCTCACTAATCTTGGTTAGTTTTAAACTAATACCCATGCTAGCTTTTGGATTTCTCTGGTGACGATGCACCTAAATTGGCAATAGTTGCTACCATCATCATCCTGCTATGACTTTATACTTAGTGCTATTTGCAATGGTAAATAAGCTAGGTTTAAAGAACGATTAACAGAGTTTTGTAAATATTGATTTATTTCCTTTTTGATTATATAGGCACATCAACAAAGCAGAAAGGCTGACCGTTTTTTGGCGTCAGGCAAATATGAAGAAGCAATTGCATGTCACAAGAAAGCTGCAGGTATGCATGAAAAATCTCAAATAACTTCTATCAGAGTATGAGAGGACTAAGTAGACACAGAATGGCAGTAAGTATTGAGAAAGAAAATGGTGCTGATGTTATTAAGATAGGAAGTAGTGGCCAAATTATATTGGCTTTAGTAAGGGTAAAAAGGTGTGATGTTAGGGTTAGTGAGAGTAAAAACAAGTGAGTTAGGGGTTGTGAGGGTAAATGTAGGGAGATTCTATTCGAAGTAGTAAGGATGCAAGGAATAGGATTACATTAGTTATGGTGCCAGCAGTGCATTGGAGCCCTCACAGGGATTGTGGTGCCAGCAGTCCTCTGATGTCCACTCACAGTAAGTTTTTAAACTGTTTACTAGCTGTTTGACAGTTACCGGACTATGTAGGATGCTTCCAAATCCTGTTGGTCTGCTCTAATATGCTGAAGTGAATGGTCATACTTACCCATTAGCAGACTAGCTTTGGACATTGATTAAGAATGTCAGCTTACTCCACACAAGATGTAGACCACTCTGGTCCTGATGTAAACAAAAAAACAATTGCTGTAAATAAGTTATGTGACAATGTATTAAGCTACCAAACTCAAATGTAACTACAACGTTTGCTACCCCACTCCTTATCTTTATTCTGTACCCCAACCCCTTTAAAACACTGAAAACCACCAAAATAAAGAATTTACAAAAAAAAAAAAATGTCAGCTTACTATGGGACCATGCCAGGGTACCTCCAGCTCCAAAAGTATTCCAGTGCATTGCAGGGATTCTGGTGTTTAGAGTATCCCTCTTAATCATTGTACATCAAGGTTTTATGGTCAGAATAAAGGTTTCTAGGAGTTGTAGTTTGTATGTGCCTGTTCCTCCCTTGTCTCTTATGAAAGCTATCTGCCTTTTAGGATGCAGAATGTTTCAAAATGTGCATTGATTTAGCTATAAAATGCATAAAGCTGTTTCCTGGAGTGTCCTTTTTATATTTTACAGTTTTGGCTTATACATTATTCGGTAATAGCCACATCACTGTAATCTGTGAAAGTATTTAGATGAAGGTCAATGCTGTCCATTTTAATATTCTCATGGTTTTTTTTTACCCTAGCTTACCTTTCTGAGGCCAAGAAGCTGACCCCATCTGAACAGGTAAAATATTTCAAAATTAGGCATGGCATCAGAACATGCAAATCAGATATTATCATGACTATTTACACATAATACATTTATTAGTGGTGATTAATCAGAATTAAAAGGATTGGTTTCCTAAACAGAATAACAAACAAAACTGTGAAAGTCATAATGCAATCTTCTTGAGAGAGAGAGATAAATACTCCAAGCACCATAACCACTGTAGCCCGATTTTTGTTGCCAGGAGTGTTATTTTATCTGGGCTGCGCCATTTGCAGCCTTCTGTGGAGATGGAAGCCGTGCTCGCATACTCCAGATAAGTTGTCAAACCATTCACAAACTGTTTAAAGTGTTCCTTTAACCCCTTAACGCCGTTACGGCGTTCTATGCTGTCCCGCATTAAGTGGGCTTTAAAGCCGTTGCGCGGCATAGAACGCCGTAACGGCTTTGAGCCCCTGGAGGTCCGGCGTACTTACCTCCGCTGCGATCCTCTTCTGGAGGGCTGCCTGACAGCCCAGGCAGCCATCCCCTGGCAAATGAGGCCCCGGGGGCCATGTGATCGCTCTCAAAGATCTGCCAGCAGGGGGACTGTCTGAAATGTCAGACAGTCCCCCTGCTGGTGGGAAAGTAAAAAATAAATAAAAAATTTAAAATAAATGTATTTTTATATATATATATATATATATATATATATATATATGTGTATATATATGTGTATATATATATGTATGTGTATATGTAACGTCATACAAGGTGTATTTTAATATTAATATAAGTACATATATTAGTATTAAAATACACTTAGAATGACGTTACACATATATATATATATATATATATATATATATGTGTGTGTGTGTATGTATATATAATTACAATAATAAATAAATAAAATAATAAAATAAAATATTGAAACAAAATTTAATATAAATTATATATTCAAATGTAATTTCATTCTAACTGTATTTTGTTATTAAAATATATATATATTGGTAACAAAATACACTTGACTATATATATATATATATATATATATATATATATATATATATATATATATATATATATATATATATATATATAGTCATCTCTATATATATCTCTATATATATATATCTCTATATATAAAATACAAATAACCGCAAAAAAAATAAAAATATATATATATATATATATATATATATATATATATATATATGAGAAATACATATATTTACATAAAAGATTACATTAGTATACACGTAGAATTTAAATACTTATAAATGCATATATATTAAAATTCTACGTGTATATTTAAGTAATCTATTAACATAATTATGTGATTTGATTGACATGCCTGACAACACAGGGAGAAAGTGCAGAGAATTTAATTCGCAAGCACTATATTTGACCCTTTAACTCTCCAAGACACCATAAAAGCTGTACATAGGGGGTACTGTTTTACTCGGGAGACTTCGCTGAACTCAAATATTAGTGTTTCAAAATGATTGTATTACAACGATTATATTTTAAGTAAAAGTGACGTTTTATTTTGTATTTTTTACAAACGAACGGCACTTTTATGGACTATATTATTGTTGTAATATGTTTTACTGTTTTAAAACTCTAATATTAGTGTTTAGTGAAGTCTCCCGAGAATAACAGTACCCCCCATGTACAGGTTTTATGGTGTTTTGGAAAGTTAGAGAGTCACATATAAGGCTTGCATTTCATTTTTTTGACATTGAAATTTGCCAGATTGGTTATGTTGCCTTTGAGAGCGTATGGTAGCCCAGGAATGAGAATTACCCCCATGATGGCATACCATTTGCAAAAGTAGACAACCCAAGGTATTGCAAGTGGGGTATGTCCAGTCTTTCTTAGTAGCCACTTAGTCACAAACACTGGCCAAATATTAGTTTTTTGCTTTTTTCACACAAAAACAAATATGAACGCTAACTTTGGCCAGTGTTTGTGACTAAGTGGCTACTAAAAAAGACTAAACATACCCCACTTTCAATACCTTGGGTTGTCTACTTTTTCAAATGGTATGCCATTATGGGGGTAATTCTCATTCCTGGGCTATCACACCATCTCAAAGGTAACATTACTAATCTGGCAAATTTTAAATTTGAAAATGCAATGTGCTCTATTTGACCCTGTAACTTTCCAAAACACCGTAAAACCTGTTAATGGGGGGTACTGTTGTACTCGTGAGACATCGCTGATTACAAATATGTGCATTTTTTTGCAGTAAAACCTAACAGTATTATGACATTAACAGCTAAAATGTCAGATGGAAATACAAATTTAAAAAAAAAAATCTCTAATTTCTCATAATAAATTATGTTCCATATATGAATAGTTAATGATAAATTAAAGCCCTGTTTCTCCTGAACAAAATGATATATAATAAGTGTGGGTGCACTTAATGTGACAGCGGTGAATTACGGTTGAACAGACATATAGCGCAAATTCCAGTTTTTGTTTACGTTTTGTTTTGATCAGAACGTGTGCTATTGACTCCGTCCTGAAGGGGTTAAAATGTCTACGAACACGCTAGATACACCCCAGTAAACGCAGTCCAGTAGCATGGCGTCCTCTGCAGTATTCTGTTTATAAATTTGCAAAGCTTTGAAGTTTATATGGTTTCTTAATCTGGATTCAGTTTACACATTTGCCTAATGTTTTCCACCACAATAAAGAAACATCACACAGGGCAAGGAGACATGTTAACATGAAAATACCAATTCTCTTGGTGAAAAGTTCTAATTACTGATACTCTGAGTCTCTGTTTATTTGGGCATATTCTCAAGAGCCAGGATGAATGAGACCAGGTATTTATTGGTAAATACAGTCTAGGTATAAAGAACTTGTTAAAAATAGAGACATAGTGGTTGAAATGCCAAATGCACGCGTAATGATTTAAGATAAGAGCATAACAACATTATAGCACAGCTTGTTTGCTACCTGTTCTGGGCTATAGAGGAGTGAGCATCTGTTTTTTTTTTTGTTTGTTTTTGGAAAAGATGAGACTTATTTACAATGATATTACTCTTTACTTGGCAGGCTCAACTTTCATTAGAACTTCAACATGATAGCCATGTCAAGCAGCAACTATTGATCCAGGAAAAACTGAAGAGAGCCAGGAGAGAGGAGAGAGTTCGAATGCAACAAAAAGCAGTAGTTGCCGAAAAGGAACTGACTACTCATCTCCAAACATCTTACAAACTGTCTTCAGATGATAATAGCCAAAATGCACATGTTTCTGCGGGGCAGAAATCTAGTTCCAATCCAGGGAAGTGTATGAGGGACGTCCGCGGTGTCCTTGATCGAGAACCAGACTCTCTTATTTATTTGTTGCAGAAAAGGAAGGAGCCATTTGAGGAGTATAAGGCAAATAGAGCTCCAAAAGATGACAAGACAAAACTGGAGGAGCAAGCCACGAAAATTAAAGATTTAAACTTACTGGTGGACACTCTTCTTGCTGAAAATGAAAAATTAAGAAAGGAGAACAAAAAGCTGCGTGCAGAGGTTGCAAGACTGCAGAAAAATCCTGAAAAAGAGCTTGATATAGATACTGATTTTGTAGAAAAATCTGAGCTATGGAGTCTACAGCAGCCAACGGGAAGTTCATCCAATACTCAAACCACATGGCAGAAATTTGTAGCGAATGCTGGGAAGGGTACAGACATTCCTATACCTAATCTTCCACCTTTAGACATTCCTTTACCAGAGCTTCCTCCCCTGGAGCTCCCCGAAGATATACAATCTCAACTTGAAGGACTTCTGGATAGCTAGATAACAGACAGACTTCTCTTCAACCATCAGGGCAGAAATATTCTCTGGGTCAATGCAACTTTACCAGGAACTACTGTAAGAGGGACTGCATTGCAGTATACTGGTAGACATGTCACTGTGAATCAGAGTTCTGATGTCAGATCTTGATCTAAAAACTGGTGAAAAGTTGGCTCTTGAGACAATATTTCTATTTTATTTGTTTTCATACCAAATGACTTCCTGAAATAACTTTTTCAAGAAACCGTACCTAAACATTACTAGTAATATGTATAATTCCATAACAGACATACGAAATCTGTTTCATAGTAGTATATTTTAACATATGCTTTGTGTCATGCATTCAGAATGTATGCATAATTATGCACATTTTTTTTTTTTCTTTTTTCAAAAAAGGTGTCCCATAAGCACCTTAACTCATAAAACGGTTTGTGCCACATTGCACTCAGTTTTAACCTCAAACAAACCAGGGGATGTACAACGTAATTCTGTTTTTCTTTTAAATATAAAATCCAATTACATGTTTTATTTCTAAATCAGTTTACAAAATTATATATAAAAAAAAAAAAAAAAAATCAGGGTGCATTATGATTACATTTTATGTATATTAATGTATGTGTTATGTATGCATTGTTTAAAAATACTTACTGAAAATCAGTATCTTGTAATAACGATGCATGTGTGCAAGTTATGCTGAATGACAGTATTTTGATTGGGAAAAAAATAAAAATAAAGTGTGTTTATATTTGTAATGCCACAAGAGTTTCTGATATGTAACAAACTTAGACAAAGCGGTTATATTCAGTAGTACACCGGGATACATACTAAAGTGAGACTGGCAGGGATTTCAAAGCTAAAGGACCACTATAGTGCCCTGAGGGTGCCCCCACCCTCAGGGCCCCACTCCTGATGAGCTAGATGGAGAGGAAGGGGTTAAACACTTACCTTTCTCCAGTGCCGGGCTTCCTCGGTGCTGGAGACTCTCCTCCTCCTTTCCCCGTCATCGGCTGAATGCGCATGCGCGGCAAGAGCCGCACGCGCAGTCAGTTAATAGGAAAGCATTCTGAATGCTTTCCTATGGACGCTGGCGTCTTCTCACTGTGAAAATCACAGTGAGAATCGCGGAGGCGCCTCTAGCGGCTGTCAGTGAGACAGCCACTAGAGGCTGGATTAACCCATATGTAAACATGTAAGCAGTTTCTCTTCATTAAGTTGAAGTGGTCTGGGTGCCTATAATGGTCCTTTAAAGGGACACTCCAGACCCCTAGCATCTAGTGGAAGTTCTTTATGTGTAAAGAGTGTTTTTTTTTTGTCTTTTTTTTTTATTCATGTTACAAAAATTGCAGATCTCAATATACATTGGCACTATTATATATTAACCCTGTTACACCTTTCTCCCCCCTCACACCCAGCTGTCAGTCAGATAGTTCCTGGTTTGTTGAGCTCAGTAGAGCTAAACGTGGGGCAGCATTTGCTCAGAGCACCTGCCTTGCAAAGACTTTTCATTGAGCTGCATTGTGGCATCTATGATTGGACAGCCACAGAAAGTCTGGATGGAGCTGGAAGAGGAGGGCTTGCAAAGGCTTTACACAAGAGATCTGTCAGATGAATACATGTGTGTTTTCATGGGGGTTATATCTACTAAACTGTGGTTTTTTTTATTTTAATTTAAAGTAAATTTCAAAATCAAGGCCATAATAAACTGAACATGTTATTGTTCTAAATGACTTACTTGCAGAGGACATGGGGAATGGGGCCATTTGTGGGTGAGGATGGGCTGTACATGGAGGTATACACAGTCATATTGACCCTGATTCTCATTTATTTTACGGCCCATTCTTTTTACTAGAACAAGTCTTTTCACTGGTCGTGTGTATTTTCTGTGCTTTAACATAGAACCAGGCACAATTTGTACCTTATGGGAATTGACATATTAAAAATAAATTGAACAAAATACTACCCCAACCTTTCCAAATATGGGCTTAACTGTTTTTAGTAACTACTAGACCTTTGCAAAAATTAGTTTGGAGCAGTTCGTCCTAATCAAATTCCTTTTCATCCACACCACACAAATCTATCTGTCTGGGATTGTCGGGTGCAGAGAAACAGAAAAAGCTCTACACTGCGATGGATATAAATATAGGATCAGGGAGCAGCGCCTGTGATGGAATTCCCACGCTCAGTGCGATATGGAGGAGGGAAGGAAAAAGACACTGATATAGTGTAGTATGTTGAGATCTTAAGTGATAGTAAATGAAGGGAAAAGAATTGCACTTACAATTTTCTGGAGCCTATACTCCACTCCAGATATGTGCGCCTGGACGGCACAATCCCCACCTATGGATATGTAAATGGTCCTTGGATGTCCTCAAAAGGGGGTCTCCAGTGGTAGGGTATATCTCCCTTCCAATGGCAGTAGGCTGATATACAAATAGTGATCTATAAAAAGAGGATAGAAACACAAAATAATGCTCTGGATGATCCAAAATAAAATGATAAAAGATGGAGGTATACCCACAAGTAAAGAGCAAATAGGATATTGCTCAATATATGTAGGTGTAGGTGGTATGATCCCCACCAAGGATATCACTCCTCGAGTCCTCCGGTAGTGGGGGTGTTAGAGAGAGTTGAAAGGAATTATATTATTTAAAAATTAAAATAGAATAAAAGGATAGGCTTAGAGGCTCCAATAGCATAAATGGGATATCTTTATTGGAGACCAAAAAAAACAGTAACTTAAAACAGCTTTAAAAAACATTAACTCGTTTCTCCTGTAAAGAGGCTTTATCCAAGTGTTCATTGCGATGTAGCAAAAAAGGCATACTAGATATCTCTTAAGGGTTTCTGATGAAAGTGCTGTTGCACCAAATTACGTGTCTGACTTGGGGGATGAGGTTACTTAGGGAAGAACTTTCTATGTTCATTTAGTGTTCTAGTCGCTTGTCCCATAGTCTTTGGATGCTACAGTAGCATGTCAAGTAAGAGATTCATGTATACTTCTTAATTTCAGGGATGTCTAGGTAATGGGGCTCTTATACTTGCATATGAATAGTTACTTTTGTAGCTTTATATGGTATGTATGTAGACCCCACTTTCTGCAGGATGATTTCCCTTCTAGATAATTACCATTTTTCTTTTATTGCATTACTATTTTTATTTATATATATATATATATATATATATATATATATCTTCTTTTCCTCAATATACAAGAGAGTGTTGTCTCACATGCTAAGGCTACTAGAATTTCTGTATTGGTTGCCTGGATATAGTTTCTAGCCATTGTGTGGGCCTATACTTACTAAATTCATGAAGCGCCAATATCAATAAAAGCAATAATCAATTACCCTAAGGTATTTAAAGATATTGGTGGGTACCAAAACCTTATTTGGGATAAGTGAATTGAGTATTTGAGAAAGGAAAAGACACTGAAATCAAGTACTTGTAAATAATCAATTCAAACTTTATTGACTAACTAACAGAGAATTAATAAGTAATAACAGTTAATCTATTGTGCACATTCAGCTAAAAGGAACAGCTCAATTATCTAGATATCAGCTTAAAGGACCACTCTAGGCACCCAGACCACTTCAGCTTAATGAAGTGGTCTGGGTGCCAGGTCCAGCTAGGCTTAACCCACTCTTTTATAAACATAGCAGTTTCAGAGAAACTGCTATGTTTATAAATGGGTTAAGCCTTCCCCCAAAACCTCTAGTGGCTGTCTCATTGACAGACGCTAGAGGCGCTTGCGTGATTCTCACTGTGAAAATCACAGTGAGAGCACGCAAGCGTCCATAGGAAAGCATTGATAATGCTTTCCTATGCGACTGGCTGAATGCGCGCGCGCATTCAGTCGACGGGGAGGATCGGAGGAGGAGAGCGCCCAGCGCTGGAAAAAGGTAAGTTTTTACCCCTTTCCCCCTTCCAGAGCCCGGCGGGTGGGGGCACCCTCAGGGCACTATAGTGCCAGGAAAACAAGTATGTTTTCCTGGCACTATAGTGGTCCTTTAAGTATACATCACCATAAGAGAAGCTTGCTGCACTCGATTGAGAGAACTTCTGGCAATCAGGCTTGAAGGGACCCTCTCTTACTGGGAAGCAGCATCCGTATTACAGGTGAGTAGTACTCCAAGCGAGTGCCAAGTTTTCTCGTCTTTTATATCTTTAACAGAGACTTACCAATGTGATGGATAGTCTGTACTTTTCCATCAAGTCTCATTGCAGCCCAGCAAAGACCTTGCAAAAGTGTTGGATGGGACCAGCAGCTGGCCAGGCTCACCAACAATACAATACCATGCCAGGTCTGTGCGGTTAATTATCTCTTATCTAAAAGCTAGCAATGTTCTCGTAATATTCTCCTGATGGTATGCATGAGTCATTCTGGTGCTGTGTTTTGTGGTTTTATTAACATTTTCAGTGCTGTGTACCGATGCCATCTTAACGATCCATAAAAGTGTGATTTGCTCAATAGTGATCAATCAATCATTCTTAATTAATATGGAATATTATCACAGCGTTCTGTAGAACAACATTTTTATTGCAGGGCTTAAAGGTCTCCTTTTTATTTATATTTTTGCAATGGGTTTCAAAGTCAATAGGTTTGCCAATTATGATGTGAAAGGGATGGTTTTGAGTACAGGTAATTACTCAGCTTTTTCTCAGACAAACTAAAATGGTTTGAAAACAAGTCTGCCCTTAAAGGGGAACTCCAGTGCCAGGAAAACAATCCGTTTTCCTGGCACTGCAGGTCCCCTCTCCCTCCCAATCCCCGGTTGCTGAAAGGGTGAAAACCCCTTCAGTAACTTTCCTGAGGCAGCGACATGTCCCTCATCGCTGCGTCCGCCGCCGCTCCTCCTCTGCATTGCGTCAGCCAGTGGGCGAGACTGCTTTCCTATGGGGAAATGAGCGACGCTCTAGCACAGGAAACCAGGAAGTGCCCTCTAGTGGCTGTCTAGTAGACAGCCACTAGGGGTGGAGTTAACCCTGCAATGTAATTATTGCAGTTTATAAAAAAAACTGCAATAATTACACTTGCAGGGTTGAGTAGTGGGAATTGGCACCCAGAATACTCCAATGGCCAGAAGTGGTCTGGGTGCCTGGAGTGTCCCTTTAACCACTACAAAAAAAAAAAATGTTCTCCCTTATTTTGTCCTTCATATTCTCATCCCACTGCTCAGAAGAATAAGGAATAAACAGTTGGGCAAATGCCTACCTGTTTGTTTAACTCTGTCTGTAGACTATAGGTTGGCATAGCCAGATTAACCGTCCGCCTACTGCCCAGGGGTTGGTTAGACAGGGACCCCGGGTGTTATAAAGATGCTTTGACCTATTTACCATGCCTATACTTTGAAAGATAAGAGGTGTCACAACTGGTTAAAGGGACATGCCAAGCACCCAGACCACCTGCCCATTGGAATGGTCTGGGTGCCAACTCCCACCACCCTTAACCCTGCAAGTGTAATTATAGCAGTTTTTATAAAGACTATCAGACAGCCACTAAAGGGACTTCCGTGTTCTTAGAACACAAAAAGTGTTTTAAACTACGCTGCAGGTCCTCACGCTATGTGAGGACCTCCAGCGTCGCCGAATTCCCTATAGGAAAGCTTTGGTTAATGCTTTCCTATGGGGAGGTCTAATGCGCGCGGCCAATGCCGCGCATGCGCATTAGGTCTCCCCTGTTGGCTGACGTCGGCGGGGGAGGAGAGTAGGCAGAGCCTGACCCAGAGCCGAGGGACATTGGCGCTGGACTCGGGTAAGTCACTGAAGGGGTTTTAACCCATTCAGCAACATGGGATGGTTGGTGGGAGGGAGAGGGGCACTGGAGAGTCCCTTTAACATACCAAGGGCCCTGTGGGCTTTTAATCCTCTGTGTAGGGACCACAAGTCCCTCCCTATTACTTAATTTATTTACTCTCCACCCTAAGTTTGTAGTAGTAATAATTGTATTTTAAGTGTCCCTCTAATCATATGAGCAGACATTTTTACTGCTACATTCTGTTTAAAACAGCAAACATACTTGAAGAAATCACAATGTATCCTTCCTGGTAAAATATTTTAGAAATAAATAATATATTCATCATTTACAGGCGATATGGACATCCATAAGAGATTTATTTGCTAAACCATGATTTGCATATTTGGTGGGGGACAAATGTCTTTATTAGAGTGTTGAAGGTTTTATTGTCACTAAATCTCAGGGCATCCAAATGTCTATTAATAATGTAGGCAAGCCTTTAAAATAATTTCATTCCACTTTACAGACTCACCATTTATATAGCTCATACACATTCTGCAGTGTACAATATAATATAACATGGCTGTATAATATAATATAAATGAAAATCCAGCACACTCACTTATCTACTAAACAGCTATTTTGGTTCTGAACAACCAAAACACCTAACAAAATTGTTCAGAACCAAAATAGCTGTATAGTAGATAAGTGAGTGCGCTGGATTTTCATTTTTACTGTACTTATTGGCCCCCACCAGCACCCCATTTAAACATGTTCAGGTGAGTGCAGCCAAACCCTTGTTTTTTTCTATATGTACAATATAATATAACATGGTACAGTTACAGGCATACTTTGAGGCCTTCCACAAGACTACAATAGCAAAGTAAGTTGATCATGGCAACTTGTGAATAAGGGCTCCTCCCCCTCACAACAGGTAGGGCAGGAATTAGAAGGGAAAAAAAAGTTTGTAAAAAGCCTTCTTCCTGTCATGTGACCTTTCTGTCCATTGTACACAGGTATCCAGGTTAATTTTGCAAAGGGTCCAACCTGGAGTAATGTCCTCTCTTTTACCTAGTCCCTATTACATTGTCCCACCTGGCATACCCCATTTAATGGTTAATGCTCTGACACAATTCTCTTCTAAAAAATTATTTGGGTGATTATCAGAAAAAGTATGAGAATGCACCTCCATCACTGAAGAGGCTGCCATGGTTTGATGGATACATACACCATACTTGGACGAGGATACCATGTCAGCATGTACAGCGGTGGCGCAGCTTCAGTGGGAACAAAGTACGTCAGTACAGGTGAGGTACCGTGCTGTTATT